GGATCAGATGATTGAACATGAATTGCTTCCCAGGGGGCCCCGAAAAGTTCACGAGCCCATATATAGATTGGGAATACAGGGTAGATGACTAAAACCCGTAGAGCACAACCCAACAAACTTGTGGTCCTGCTTGTCTCTTTTACCCTCCAACAAACACGTCATAAGGTCGTGGATGGGCATGGCTCCAAATGCAGCTTTCCTCTCCATGTTGGTGGCACTTCCATGGGAATGAGAGAGGGGGTGTGTTCCTTTCCAGGTAGACTAGACTTTTGCCATGTTCATCCAACGGAACAACACACACCAGAACACATGGAGGACACGTGGATCCTCCAAAGTCCTCGCTTTGGAAAGCATCTCACTTCTAAGAAGTGCGTTCGGATCATGGACCCCTGATGGACCTGGACCTAGACCTAACCTCACCAAGTCGGCAAACATCATCACGGTCAAGAAAACCTCGAATTCGACAACAGTCGGCTAAGGACTCGAGCAAAAGAAAAAGTTGCTGAGCCTCACGTATCTTGGTATCTGAGTTGCCAACCCCTCCAACCCCTCAATATGTAATGAAAACCATGAAAAAGAACTCACCCAAACCAAGCTCCTCAACTCCCTCAGGCCTGCCCAGGTCGCAGCGGTGTCCTGGTCATTCGGCGCGGATGGGATGCAGCTTCTGAAGCTGCATGACCCCAAACACCGATGGTTCTGGGACCACAACCCTTGGAGTTGGTCCACTTCCTATACAAACCGATGGAATCAGAGAAGGATTTCCTTTTTAAAAATACCCTGAAATGGGGAGCTGGTGAGAAGCATTTTCCCGGCTTCCAGGAACACAAAAAAATAGAAACACGGCCTCGGAGGCTTCAGACTCCGACCATGACCTCGGCTCGGCACCGGTTCGCAAATGAGGTAGGATTGTCCCACCTGGTGCCAGGCACGGTTCCTGTAGGACAACATCAAGGATTGCTGGCTCCTCTGGTTTTGCTCTCTTTCGCATGACTAGTAGAATCCAAGCTCGAACACAACTCTGGAACAATGGAATCTCTCAAAGGTATATCATTCGTGGGAGGCGGTGTTCTTACCAGGGTGCTGGAGAAAAAAGACAGGTGGGAACCCAGTGAAAGATCTGCGCCAGAAAGTGCAACATGATTCAAACACCGACACATCCACGCAGGGCTCTTTATCCATGTCTATCAGTCTATCCGCACGCCGACAGGTATTCCCTGGGCTGTAAAGTCCTATACCTTTTGGGTCACTGTTGTCACGACTGTTGTCCACCAGGAACCACCACGGCCACACACCAGCAACCACCATCCCCATGGGCTTGGCTACCCCAGGCACGCTGCTTCCGCACAGATCGCCATGACCCGAAAACTAGAGCTTCCTGCTTTGAGAAAGTCAGCTACACGGGCGATGGACGTGCTACACGTTGGCCGGTCGAAGTGACTAGTGGGCCCTTTGGCCTCAAAAAGAGGGTCCTGAGCGTTGGAGAAAAGATCGAACAAACCGAAAACAACTCCTCAATGGACTGGTAATGAGATGCGAATAAATCCAGTTCTTTGTAACCGCAATAGACGTGTGGGTTGATTGATCAAACTTGATCAGCCTTTGGCACACAATCGCGGAACTTGTCCATTATCTTGTCCTCTGGAACCAAGTAACGAGTCAATCCATGAACAAACCTCCCTTGACAAAAACTGAGGGTACTAGCATAATTACAGTATAACTCAGAATCAAAAACGCAAACCTGCTCAAATTCCACAATGCTTGTGCTTTTGTAAGCCCTCGGAACCTTTGCCTCGGAACCTTCGCATGGCATCCTCCAAAATCCGTCCGAGGTCGAATTCGCTCAGTTTGTTCTTCGCACCAACTCTTCTACCCAGTTGATCCACATCTTGCGGATAATCCTATCCGTTCCCAGTGGAGTGGGCCTGGCTTTGCCACGGCCCCCCACACGCCCCTTGAACCTCCCCCGGCACGAACGCAGCGCGTACGCGCCGCGGAAAGGGAGACCGCCCAAAAGAAGGCTGTCATCGGGAGGGCTGGACGGCTACGCAGTGGTTCACTGCGGAAATCATTAGCATCACGAAGATCCGGGGCTAGGGCGAACGAAAAACAGAACTTGTTCCTGAATCTGGTGCGCGACTTGGACGCCAGAACCTGGTGGTTGTGTTTTGACAGCAGCCTTTCAAAGAAAAAGAGCTCAAATGACAATCGGACCTCAGGATTCACATCCATTTCACGCATCCGCCACCGGATCCACCTCTTCTGCATTGAGTACGGTCTGCGCATCAGGAATCACGCATCCTGCCGATCGGCAAAGTCGAAAAGATTGACCAACATCTTCTGTAGACATCCCATCTTGAACAGGTGGATCTAGAATATGTTGGTGGATCTGTTGGGGACCATATCATAACTGAAAGGGGATTTACAGGTGGATCTCTTGTGAACTAGACGGATGTGGAGCGTTCCGGGCCACTCATGGCCACTCTGAGCGGAGCACCAGACGCTCTGGCTACCCAAGTTGGGCTACCCATCCAAGCTGCACTGAAAAGACTTGTCTGAGTGAGCCAAACCTCCCGGCCTTTGCACAGGGTTTTTGTGGTGCTTGGCATTTGGCTTCAAGCAGCTTGACTCAGCTTCAACCCCGAGTCCTTCCCTGAGCTGCTTGATGAGCTGAGCCACGCCTTCGTGCTGCTCTTTTCCTGCTCGCTCCGTGGCACGGTCTGCGGAGCTCGTACCAGGAGTCACATGGAGTTGGGTGGTTTTTGGGTCACTACATAAGCGAGTGGATGTGACAAGGGCACCCCCACCCTCCAAGCATGCGGAACTACTGGTAGATGGTCAAGGACATTGTCATCCCGGCTGTTGGATTCTGTTGGCAGGTGCACAAGTATTAGAATAGGTCCTGGCAGGGGCCGCTGGTTTTTTCGAAAGCGGCTGAGAATCCGGAGAACCCGTCAATACCCGTCACGCTCTTCGGGGGATCATCTTCGACCGAAGCTCAATGAAATTGGACATCATTAGACGTCCTCTGTAGAAAGCCAATGAGGCCTCTAAGAGCTCGATGACTTGTGCCTGAAAGGAGCAGAAGGAGCACGGCGTGAAGAACGAGCTGCGAAGGATGACGACAAACACCGTGTTCGCGCGGCGTTCAGGCCGACTCCAGCGGTTGGAATGCTTCGGGAATCCGACAGGATAGAATGTGATGGAGAATCTCCTCAAGTCCAAGAGCGATTGGCCTCCAACCTAAGTAGCGATGGCCTCGGGGACCACACCGGGGCCTACCAGAGGCCCATCTGCCCTCTGCCGTCGCAGGCGGTCGCGCGCCTGCGCACGCGGCAGATCCAGGGGCCAAGCTCCTCCGTGCTCTTTGCGAAGCTGCTTCCAGAGGGCGTAGCTGGCGTACTCCTGGAGTGTTTGCTTGCTGGAGCTTGGATTCCATCCCTTGGAACGTCCCAGAGCCTTGGGGATTCTCAAGAAAACCCAAGTGCCTGGAGTCCTCCCAGGTGGTCTCCTGAACCTGTTGATCTGCTGAATGAAGGCGAAGAGCCTCGACTAAGGCCTTCACGGCCTCTGCCTCAAGCGGCTCCGGCGGACCAGAGGTCGCCGACATGGGAAAACGACGAGATCTTCGACGCGGCGGACATGCAAAGACGTCCCTTTTGGTGCGCTGATCGTCCACCTTTTGGTTTTGGGAACGCCAAGGGAAGAAAACATCTGGCAACATCTTCAATTGCGCCAGCAAGAACGAGTCTTGGCGGCTCAATGGCTCAGCGGCAACAGCAGTAACAAACACAAGTGACAGCATCGAAGAGAAAGGCACGATACCTCTCAGTCAGGCTCGAAGCATAAAGTATATCTAGCAAGTGTCATCATCTTGCACTCAATATGTTACAAGTTAAGATCTTGTTGGTATATGTTTCCTTCATCAGATTAGATTGGCTTCCACAAGCAGTCGCGGCCACTCAACACTGGAAGTCGACTCCCCAAAACACACGGTGGCACCGTAAGATGGACTCAATCCGTGAAGGATGCGTTCTCTCTCCAATCTCGGTCTCTTCGTTCCCCCGTCCTTCCATCTTCGTGACCCACGACGACTCCACCCTCAGATGAGCCCACGGCTTCCGTGTCCTCCCACCCCATCCAGGTGCTTCGTCTCCACGGAAGTCCTCGCCTCCAGATCTGCACCATCCACATCTGCCAGCCGCCCCAGTGCGCCACAGGCGCGTTGCTGCAGTGTCAGGTCCTGCGGTCCATGGCGCATGGCCACCGCCAAGGCTGAAGAAGCACCGGCCTGCGGTGAGTGAGAAGCACCAGTGGTATTCGGAAGTGGGGGAACTTGGATCGGAATGGACGCTTCAACCAACCAGCCTAGTCTCCCAGCTCACCTCCTGTGAAGGCTTACACAAAGCCAATGTCATGAGTCATCAGACGCACATGGCAACTACTCAGATTTAATTTGGTCTAGATCATGCACAGCTCTCGGTCGGTCCTTTGGTTGATGAGACGAGTTTACACCAAATTGATCTTGATTCTCATTCAAATTATCATTTTCATTAATTAGATGAGATCATCTCATTCTCATCGGGATTTCCTCTTGATCCCACCACGCAGCACGATCACCTCGGCTGCCCTCGCTGCGCAGCTGCAGCAAAGCACACCCAGTGCCCCCGCAGCCGCCGCCGTCGCGGTCTTCGAAGCCAGTGCCGTGAGAAGTGGATCGAGGGCTCCGGCCTGGCCGTGACAAGGGTGCGAGGCTGGAGCGCATGCAACAACCAGGCTCTCAATAGTACAACTCCGGCCTGCGCGTGCGTGCATGTGTGTGTGTGTGAGAGAAACATGTGTTGGGATAGTTGTGCGAGCACTCCTTCCTTGCATCTTGGTCCTTTGTTTTCTTGTGTTTCGTTTCGTTGACTGCGGACGTGTACACCCCCCAAAAATTCCTACGAGAAACTACAAGATTCACTTGGACCCTGAAAGTGAACTGCTAGATTCAACTACAAACAAACCAGTAACTTTGGGGCAAATGGTGTGCACATCTGCAACTTGTCTATGGCCAGCACAGCCTCTCCTCCACCTCTTCCAATGACCAAAATGCACTCATGACACCATCCTGTTGAGGTATTCTTGGCACCAAACCCCAGAAATCATTGCTCCAAACTCTCCAAACCCCAGAACACTCTTGGGATTGGCGGAGTTATGGTATCTGAACAGTTGATTGTGGGCCTTGGGACCAGGACCGGAGGTCGCACATTTTATGTAGATCGGCCTTACTGAGTACTGGCTGCAAGTCTGAGTTCTTGAACCGACTCAGCACTAGGAATCGCCACAATGATTCATTCTAAACCTCCAAACAACAATCAGGCAACCACCCATCCATCATAAACCACCAGCCATTCCTCTCCAGAACCACCAGAACTCCTCAGACTCTTAGACTCATCAGACCAACCTCCACATTTCGGGACCCACACTGCCCGCCCGGGACCAACGCAAGACCCGCCTGCACGGCCCGTTCAGCACGCCCCACACGGCTGTCGGTGTCGTTGGACCCAGCGCAGAGGACCCCTAAGGCGCCAAAGGCCACCTGGATGGAGACGGAAACGATGGAGACGGCGCACGCAAAGTAAAGGCCCAAGGGGCGTTCGGCTAGATGTGGCATTTCACCACCAGGAAGGAACCACTGATTTCCGGATGGAGGGACGCGGTGGGGGGGGCCACGTGTTGCAGTGTTTTTTGGGTGATGTTCCAAGGATCAAGGATTATATAAGCTTACTGTAAGCTTTCTGTAAGCTTTCTGATTCTGCTGAAGCATTGCTGGAAAACTTCACAAATGCTGAGAATATTAGTAGATGTCAAGCATCAGTTTGCTGAGGCTGTGCGGAATAATAAACTAAACTATGCTCATGACCTTGTCTTCTTGATCATGTAGTGATGAGCTTTGTATTGCGCAGACGTCTTGCAGTTGCTTCATCAGACCCAAACTGTACGAGTTGTTTCTGAACTAAGTGTGTGCAAGGAACAAGTTTGCTGTCTCCCAGTTGCTAATGATTAGTAGGGCATCACGTGACTACCAGATATATATACATGGTACCACAAGATCTCACGTAGACCAGAAATTGATGTATATATCAAAAGTACTGTGCGCAAACACGCGTTTTCCCCAGAGCTTTCATTGCCAATTGCATGTGCTGGCGGAGACATTGGAAGATTGCAGTACGAACCCTCTGGCCCCTTCCCAGCTGTACTGAGCCTCGGCACTGCACTTCGCAAGTTATCACTGAAACTACTTCACAGCAGGCTTCTTCTTCTTCTACTTCTTCTTCTTCAGATGCGCTTTTGCCACTGGCTTACATGTGTAGGTGTGGCTTGCGGCAAAATCTGCACTTTGACACTCGACTTGTGAACGCAAAGTGCATGTTCGGAGATCGATGTGATCGCATGCCAGACCCTGTTTGTGAGAGCGAGGTGCTTGCGGTTGAGA